TGACTTGAAGAAGCAACTGGCCTTCAGAGCCCCCCATCGCTATACAAAAGTAGGCTTTGTTACTAATGAAATAGTGTTTCTTCGTAAAGGCGGGGAGGTTGGTAACATTGTGTAGGTATTTCATTGGTGTTATCGAAAGTGGTAGTGACATTCCATTCACTCTATGGACTAAATGTTAACTAGAGTTCGTAACGCATCGCTTTGAACTTTTTTTCTGAAAGAGTGAATCCCCAGAGTTTGCAGTAGATTTTGCTTCTCGGTAGCTTTCCGGTGAGAGGAGTGTTGGCTCGGATCCCACATGAATTTGTGGACCAGCATACGTTGGCACACACATTCTGTAAGAGCTGGTATGTTGTTGGCTTAGATGCTGTAAGAACTGCATCTCTGAGATGCCTCACAAAAGCAGTGTCCTGTGTTTTGATGTTTTCTTAAGAGGTGAACACCCCAAAGGAATGCTCTTGGGTGCATTCTAGGTGCTTGGCTAGAATCACCAGATTTTCAATTTTTTTTTTAGTTCCTGTCACAGATTGAATATGGACTCACAGAAGTAAGACTTCAATTATATTTCCCCTAGCTGAAAACTCGTGATTTTAAACTCATCTAGAGATCTGCTTTTGCCAGGGGTGGGAGGGGTGGGGTATTTTTATTGAGGCTATTGTTTCCCACAGGATCTTGTCAGTTGCTGAATGTTTCTGAAGAGGCTGACAGGACTGAGTGAGCTGTGTGCGATGTAGTGGGCTGGAGTATATAAAATGTGCTTGGGACTGTTGACAGAAAGGATTATGTCCTAGTCGGGTCCATATCTATACTTTCTTACTATGGACCCAGTCAGGTCTTGGAGGTGGTATTGTCCCTGGCTTGCTAGGATACCGATAAGTGTGTTCAAGTGCAAAAGAGTTCTTGGTTAATTGCTGTCTTACTGCAGTCCGTGTTGGCGTAACAGTGAGAGTTGATAGATAGCATTTTACTTCGTCCAGGTTTGGTCTTCCCCAGTGTAGTTCTCCTCAAACCTGAGGGTGCTTGTTGAGTAGTGTTCACAACTTAAATTCATTACCTAAAATGTTGACAGGTGAATTGTGAATGGAGAAAAGCTTATTAAATGAAGGGAAACTTTTATAAGCTTCTGTGATTTCAACTCTGCCAGAACTTTTTGAATGAAGTTCTGACTGGTAGTCTAATGGTAGAGCACTGACACTTCCACAGGCTGACCTGAGGCTGGCATGTGTATTTCATCTTAATGTTTATCCATCTTGATGGTTAAGTCATTTTTAGAAAGTTATTATTGGTTTCTCTTGGGATAGAGCGTATGTATGTCTACAGTAAAGAATAAAAAGCTCATAATAGCCCATTTTTTATAGTCCAACCTCAAAACTCTGTACCTAAAATGGTTAAGAAAAGCATTTTTTAAGTGAGTGACAGTGGGGCTTAGATGTAATAGTCTTCTCTACCAAATTTAGTTGAAAATAGGCTTACTTCCCATTCCATTCAAGAGCATTTAGTTAATGGCACTTTCAGGATTGTGTTTAGGCAAAGTTAGGGTAGTGCTTTCTTATATATGTTACTCAGCACTAGTAATTTTATGTGAGACTTGAGGCAAACTAAGCCTTTCTTCTTTTGAAGAAAGCTTAAAGCAATCCTGAGTTCTGAGTACCATAGTAAATGGTCTGTTAGTCCCACAACTGGAATAGTATTTGAGCTCGCCTATTCTTTATCAGCATACAGAGATCAAACAATTGGAATAAGTAAAGCATTTAGTAATACTTCTGCCACTTCAAGTTCATGCACTAGAAAGTTTAGAAGCAGTAGAAGGAAACTGTCCTCAGTGATTTTCATAAGTGATATATATATATATATATATATATATATATATATATATGTATATATATATATTTTTTTAAATATATTTCATTGATTTTTTACAGAGAGGAAGGGAGAGGAATAGAGAGTTAGGAACATCGATGAGAGAGAAACATCGATCAGCTGCCTCCTGCACACCCTCCTACTAGGGATGTGCCCACAACCAAGGTACATGCCCTTGACTGGAATCAAACCTGGGACATTTCAGTCTGCAGGCCGACACTCTATGCACTGAGCCAAACCAGTCAGGACCATAAGTGATATATTTTGTGAAAACTTTTGTAAATGTGGGAATTTTACTACAAGGTCAAAAAAATATAAAACACATTGGCCAGATAAGAGGCTTCTTAACCTTTGACCCTTCGTAGTTTAGCATTCAGTTGTTTTTATGGGATAACAATAGTCTGTTCAGAATTTGAGGGCTTTTTTTCCCCATGAAGGTAAGGGGTCCAGATGTTTGGCTAAGTGCTTTTAAGGGTAACATACCAGAGTTTCCTTGTGTCCGGGGATCACCTTGTAAAGTGTGATTCTGAATGTTAGGTCAGAGATGGGCTTGAAAATTCAGTTTCTTAACCAGGTCCCAAGTTAAAAACTGCTGGTCCACTGACCACACTTTGAGTAGCTAGGCTTTAGTATTCCTTGAACAACCCAATACGTGGTGTTGATGTTGTCAGGCAACTCAGATGCATTGTTACTCCTCCTGGTTCAGTTGGTGTCCATTGTGCTTCCGTAAACATCTCAGGAACTCAATTCAGACTCACACTGGGTACTTTCAGACCTACCCTTAAGTCTCAGTGATGATTAATGGGGATGGTTATAAGTGGATTTTTCAAATGCACCTGTTGTCCTGAGGGGTTTGAGCCCTTAATTTATAAACTGATAGAGGTCCATTTTGCCAGGTCAGATTACTGAGATCAAAAGCTGTGTTTCCGTAGTATTTAAATGTGCATTTATAAGTTGATTGGATTATGTTGAGAGACTTTTGGAGGTTATAGTGTGGGTCTCACCTCAAAGTCATGGATTAAAAGTGTTTTAGACCATCGGTCACCAACTGGTGGTCTGTGAGGTCCGAAAGGTTGGCAACCGCTGGTTTAGACAGTGGTTCTCACCGTGTGGTCTTTGAACTAGCATTTAGCATTATCTGGTAACTTGTTAGAAATATAAAGTCTCAAGTCCCATCCCAAAGGTATTGAATCAAAGTCTAGGGATAAGGCCTAGTCATCAGCATTTAACAAGTCTTTCAGGGAGTTCTGACTCTGATTCTAGTTTGAGAACCATTGGTTTAGGAAACAGAGGAGATAGTGATGTGTATTAGTGAAGAAACTTTGGGAGCCATTCAGCTTTTTCTTACCTTCATCAGAGGCCCTTATTTACCAGTTCTTGAGGTGCAGCACTGGCTATTCTATTAGTGATATCATCTTCTGCTTGAAATACAAAATAGAAATGCTTTGGACTGTCCCGTTATTCAGATCCATGTGTTTTTTCTTCAAGTGAACAGACTGATCTTAGACCATAGAGTGTACATACTTAGTGCTATTCCTCCTTTGCTCTTTATCTTCCCACCAACTCATTAAATGCTGCCTCCTGCCAGGGGACAGGAAATAAAAACAGAGGACACAGAACATTCATCTTGGAGCTCCAGTGGCGCAGTCGGTTAGCGCGCAGTACTTATACAGAGCATTCATCTTGACACTGATCAGTGTTCATGCATGTGAAATCTAAAAAGTAGGTGTTGGATTATCTGAGCTTAATTTCATGTGTGATCTTCATTGCCTTGACTTGTTGAGAATTGGCACCATTTTAGCCATCAGTGTCTGTAAGGGATCTTTAAAAGAGGCCCCCTCATTTGTGGCTGGTGGGCAATTGGTGACAGTGGTGCAGCCATGTTTATGTCTTTGCTTTAAAATCATTAATAAAACAACCCAAGTGGACTGGTTTGAGTAACCTCCTAGCCTTCTTGGAGAAAATCAGGTGCAAGACTTGAAGTCAGCAAGCTTCTGAGAAGAAAACAGTAACTGTGATTTAAACCCTAAGTTGAAATCAGTAGTCAGATGGTTGGTTTTTCTTGTACATAGATCTCGTTTGATAACGTCAGGGTTGTTCAAGGAATACTAAAGTCTAGCTACTCAAAGTATGGCTATAGGTTTCTCTCAAAAACTGAATTGAATAGTAATCTTTAACAGGTGGCATTTCAGTGGCACACTTAGTTGCAAACTCTTTTTTTTAATATATTTTATTGATTTTTTACAGAGAGGAAGGGAGAGGAAGAGGAATACAGAGTTAGAAACATCGATGAGAGAGAAACATCGATTCAGCTGCCTCCTGCATACCCCCCACTGGGGATGTGCCCACAACCTAGGTACATGCCTTTGACCGGAATCGAACCTGGGACCCTTCAGTCCGCAGGCCGACGCTCTGTCCGCTGAGCCAAACCGGTTAGGGCTAGTTGCAAACTCTTAAGCTAATGTAAAAATAGGGGTGCCTGTTTATATTGGAGAAAGCAGAATTATGGTATGAAAGTCATGATAGCCCTGGCCGGGTAGCTCAGTTGGTTACAATGTTGTCCTGATACACCAAGGTTGCAGATTCAATCCCTGGTCAGGACACATACAAGAATCAACCAATGAATGCATAGGTGGGTGAAACAGCAAGTTGATATGTGTCTGACTGTCTGTCTGTCTCACTCTCTTTTCCTCTCCTATCCCCCCTCTCTCTAAAATAAATAAATAGTAAGGAAGAAAGGAGCCCTGGCTGGTGTGGCTTAAAGCATCAGACTGTGCACTCAAGAGTCATGGGTTCGATTCCTGGTCATGGGTTCGATACCTGGGCTATGGGTTCACTCCCTGTCCCCCACCCTCGATCAGGGTGCTCCCAGGAATCAACCAGTCAATGTGTGTGTGTGTGTCTCTCCCCCTTCACTCCCTCCCATTCTCTCTAAAAGGCAATGGAGCCCTAACCGGTTTGGCTCAGTGGATAGAGCGTCGGCCTTCGGACTCAAGGGTCCCAGGTTTGATTCCGGTCAAGGGCATGTACCTTGGTTGCGGGCACATCACCAGTAGGAGGTGTGCAGGAGGCAGCTGATCGATGTTTCTCTCTCATCGATGTTTCTAATTCTCTATCCCTCTCCCTTCCTCTCTGTAAAAAAATCAATAAAATATATTTTAAAAATAATAATAAAATAAAAATAAAAAGCAGTGGAAAAAATGTCCTCAGGTGAGGATTAACCAAAAAAAAAAAAGGAAAAATCATTATACAGTTTTAATGTTTCAATTGTGCAGAAAACCATAGTGGGCACTTTTCCAAGTATTTTTCCTTTAGCTAAATTTGAAGGTTTTCTTTTAAAATATCCCAAAGTGGTTCCTTTCCAGGAATAATTGTTGTTAAGGGCTCTAGATGAGATAGCAAGTCCTCTTGAGAAACTGGAGAGCTGTGAGGCCAGGAAAGAGAGTCATCTGCCTGTGCTAGACTAGCCTGGCTCCCAGGAAATGTTCAGTGGACAGTTACGAAAAAGCAAACTTTGTTGACTCCTCCCCACTTAAGTGGGGATCCTCTCAGGCTGGGATACCTATGTCTTATGCAGTTGAGACTTTGCTACCAGGTTCCACTCTCTCAGCCCACGAAGAGGAGCATTCTCCTGTTTCCCTAAATGCGCAGGTGGATCCGGGTCACATTTTGAGAAACGTCATTGGTTTAAAGTGCTACTTCTTAACTTCTTTAGGATTTACTGGCAATCGTTTGAAGGTATAAACACTCACTGCTGAAACACACAATTTTGTATATGATTCCTTGAGGCCCTGAAATTGGTTTAACAAGCTCTGCTCTCAAGAACCATAAGTATAAGTTTACCTTGATGTTTAAGTTATTCCCACCAGCTTTTACAGTCCAAGAATGGTTTTGTTTTCCCACTTCTCAGCCTATTATTGAAGAATGTGGTTCTTCATCCTCTATTGACATTCCAGTAGAGGTGTACCCTGTCACAAATGGTACTGCTAGCATAGTTAATGCCGGTGTGCAGCTGGCTCATTGCTCCATCTTTTGCTCCTATCGGCTTTGTATAGTCAGTCACTTGAGTATTTGTTCACACCTGGAAATTGCCAAGCATATAAAGTCAACAAAGAAAACTAGAATAATATGGGAGGGGAAGTTAAAACATTTTTACCAACCTGAGTGATTCTTATACCTGAGAATAGTTGGCATTTATCAGTCATTGATTAATAAATCTGTAAGAAGAGAAATTAAACAAAACATTATCCTCTGGTAACTGAATCTCTCACTTGTGTTTACTTAAAAATATTTATAATTCAGAAATATAAAATTCATCCCTTTTAAGGTACACCACTCAGTGGTTTTTAGTGAATTCACAAAGCTGTGCAGCCTTCACTACTATCTAATTCCAGACCTCAGAAAGTGTAACTGGGGGTAAAGGGAGATTACCATATATGATTTGTAATTTCCCCCCCTATTTTCGGGGTTGTCTTTTTGCTTTCTTACTAGTAATTTGAAACACAAAAGTTTATGAATTTGAAGTCCATTTTAAAAATCTGTCTCCTTATAAATTGGCACCTGGTGCATTTAAGAGCAGGAGGTTTCAGGTAAGCCTGATGCTTCCATGCCGTGAGGAGCATTCAGTGTGTGGAATATATTATTGGACAGTGATTTGTGAGAGAATGTGTCTTAGCAAGAAACTGATCACTGTTAGGTTATTTGCCAGTTTTGCTTGAACTTCTTGTAAGAACCTTAAACTGACTCCAGTCCTTTCAGGAATAAGTCAGGTATAAATAAATAGGAACTGTTTAAAATGCTTAAAGTAAACACTCAATTACTGAACACAAAGATAAGCAAAAGTGCGTGAAATAGTATTCAAAATCACCATTTGATTTCTCTTTGTAGGAGGAGCTCTTGGATATAAAAGAACGCCCTCATTCCAAACAAAGGCCTTCATGCCTCTCTGAAAAATACGACAGGTATGGGGGGGTGGGGGGGGTTGCTTCTGGTCAGCTTGTTACATCAAACTTGGTACATTTAGAATTGTATTGTTTTGGAGCTTCTTGATAGAATTATGAGTGGGGAGATAGGGGTTTTGACATTGAGCTTCAACACAACATATTACAGATAAACTATGAACATGACTAGTATTTCATTACATTGTCTTCATTATTTTCATTATTAATTAGTTTTGAACATTAATTCAAAGATTTGAGCTGCAAGGGACTCTAAAGACAGCTAAACCAGTTCCCTTTTAACTAATTGGTGATGAAACTAAAACTAGAAAATAACTTGGTCAAAGGCACATGGTCAGAAAGCAGAATTAAGACTTGACTTGAACACAGGAGTCCTCATCAGGGTATTTCCTCTCTTCTAGTGGCTTTTGCACTGTGCTTTGAGGGGCCTTCTTCAAGGTCTGCCCCAGGTAGGCTGATCAGGAGGACTCTGAGCCTTTTCATCTGTGCCCTCCCCCCCAGCTCTGTCAAACAAGAGTCATTCAACCCTGACCAGTTTGGCTCAGTGGATAGAGCATCAGCCTGTGGACTCAAGGGTCCCAGATTCGATTCCGGTCAAGGGCATGTACCTTAGTTGTGGGCACATCCCCAGTAGGGAGTGTGCAGGAGGAAGCTGATCGATGTTTCTCTATCATCGATGTTTCTAACTATCCCTCTCCCTTCCTCTCTGTAAAAAATCAATAAAATATATATATATATATATTTTTTTTTAAAAAGAGTCATTCAAATAAGCCCTTTCTAATCTTGGCACTTTCCTAAGAGATAGAGGCTTTGGTTTGACAAGACTATATAAAAAAAAAAAAGAAAGAAAAAATAAGACTATATATATAGCTAACAATGTTCTGAAAAGCTCTTACAGTAACTTCTACATTGCACTTTTAAGGTCATTTCTTCAGTGTCAACGTAGATGGTTCATACTGGTCTACACTTTTTTTTTAATATATATTTTTTATTGATTTCAGAGAGGAAGGGAGAGAGAGAAACATCAGTGATAAGAGAGAATCACTGATTGGCTGCCTCCTGCACGCCTCCCACTGGGGGGATTGAGCCCGCAACCTGGGCATGTGCCCTTGGCCGAAATCGAACCTGAGACCCTTTAGTCTACAGGCCACGCTCTATCCACTGAGCCAAACTGGCTAGGGCTGGTCTACATTTTTAACATACAAAGCATCCATCTTGGTTGAATAGTGCGTATTCATTTTATTTTTGTATATGGACTGTTTAGAAGGTTGCTAAATCTGGACTCCTCATCTGCTTTACCCTGATGAAGGGGATACTTGAATAATTGCTATTCCACATGGTTAGGACTTTTTAATAAGTCTCAGATAATCTGTTGTTGTTTTTCATTAAAGCTGTAAAGCTTTTTTATGCCTCAAATTGAATTTTCTTATTACAGCTGTTTCTTCTTGACATAAAATAAAGTTATTGTGGGCATACACATTCACTTTTATTCTGAAGTGGAGACATTATGCCTAGTAATGCTAATAAAAATAAGAGGAAAAAGGTTCTCATTCTGCTGTTTCTCTTCTCTTGACAATTAAAATTTGTTGGGTTCCTAAACTTTAAGCAATCCTCAAAACCGCACGAAAAGACAGGTCATGTCCCCTTTATGATGAGGAGTTTGAGACAGAGAGGTTGACTCACTTATTCAAGAAATGTTCCATTAGTGCCTGCCATGCGGCAAACATTGTGTCAGGTGCTGTCAAGTACTTCCTTCGTGGAACATTGGTCTGTGGAAGGGCACAATCAGATACCCCTAAGAGGTTATCATGCCACCAGTACAGGCTGTGAAGGACAAGTGCAGAGAGCAGAGCTAGTGTGTAGTGCAGCTGGTCTGATCTGGGCTTGGGGAAGTCCTTTCTGCAGAAGATCGAAGGGCATCTTGTCTAAGGTGTCCCTGGTGGTGATGGCAGAGCTAGAATTAGTCCCAGATCATTGGGCTCCAAAGCTGCTATGCACACTGTACCACCTGTCATTCCATCATCAGAGGGCGGACAAAGTAAAACCCAAGCCACACGTTTTAGGCTCTTACTAGAAAGAGCTTATGGGGAAAACTGAGACTATGCATAGAAATTCTGGGAAAATACCCACCAAGCATTCTAGGAGCTACTTCTAGTGAGAGGATTAAGAGGTTTTTCCTCCTTGTACTAATCTTCTGTAAACTGAGTAGTAACATTTAGGAAGCCATAGTTTTTGTGAAAAACAGGCATAGTTACTGCACCCCAAGGTATGTAATCTGAATGTTTCATTTATGCACAGATGACTAGTTTTCAAGCTACTTCAGGTGTTACGTGAACAACAAAGTATTACTGAATTAATAGTTGCTTTTGTTTTCATCTTAAAATAGATAACCATTTTTAACCATTTTTATGGTAACCATGACATTTTATATTGGAAAGGGATTTCCACAACTTACTACTTGAGGAAATTCGTAAATGAGACATGTGTAAATGCTAACTGTTGGTGCCCTTTGCCTTACAGTGACGGTGTCTGGGACCCTGAGAAGTGGCACGCCTCTCTGTACCCAGCTTCCGGGAGGAGCTCCCCAGTGGAAAGTGTGAAAAAAGAGTTGGATGCAGACCGGCCTTCCCTGGTGCGCAGGATAGTAGGTGAGCAAGTCACTTGGAAGTGGGGGCAGCAGTTTGGAGACAAGGCTCTTTGCTGCTGGCTTCATTCTTAGCTGTGAGAGCTTTGTGCAAGGAGGGAAAGCGTCATTATCAGGAAGCTGATTTCCAGTTAAGCAAAATCATAGCCTTCCTGTGTAGCAGCAGTGGCAAGTAGACACATTAGGCTATGTGCTTTTGAATGAAAAGTACTCATGTCATTCATTGACGTAGATAACTGAGTTAGGTGTGGTAGGGAGCATAAAGCTGTGCTGGAAATCTGGTTATGCTTAGTCTCATATGAGAGACTAGTACTCAGGTATAAATCAGTTCTGGCAGTTCTTAATTCATAATGGAATATGGTATGAATACAGGGTTTAGATAAGGTTTTTGACTGGAGTAAAGTTTGATCTTCCATACCTTTCCCCCTTTGAACTAGAAAAGATACTGAAGAGTGAAATGGAGACCTGGCAATATTAAAACTAGTCAAGAAACTTGTTGCAAGAGGAACTCCTTTTGATAAGAGAAGACCCATCATAGAACAAATTTGGAACTGAGCAAAGAAAATAGGGATGACTTTAGTTGGAGCTATAAGATCCTTCTACAAAGAATCTACTAGTGCAGTCAGTGCAGTAATGCCCCTCAAAGAATTTATTCTAACAGAATCATTAAAGATGTGCCACAGACTTTATTCAAATGATGAAAACTTAGAAGCAACCTAAATGTCCATAGTAGAAATGGGTTGAGTATGTGTGAGTATTGCATTGGTTAGCTGTTAAAAACGTGTTGGAGATGTGTTTACCAAGTTATATAAAGCTACCCATATAAAAACTGAGGCACTGCATAAAAGTTCTGGAAAAGTACACACCAAAATGTTTTAGGAACTGATTTTGATGAGAGGATTAAAAGATTTTTCTCACTTGGACTTATCTTTAGTTTTCTGGTTTTTCTAGGAAGAATTTTTGAGTGTGTGTTAACATGTTTACTTTTCTTACACCTTTATTGAGATATAATCTATCTATATAAAAGCCAAGTGACTGGAACACCGGAATGACTGGTTGCTTTGATGCAAAATGCAGCCCCAGTCAGCCCCCTCCACTCCGATGGTGGGGGGGGGGGGGCAGCCGGCCAACCTCCCGCATCCCCTCCCCCCAGCCAGCCTGGCCCCAGTCAGCCCCACCTGTGCACGAATTCGTGCACCAGGCCTCTAGTAGACATATAATAGACTGCACATAAAGCATACCATTTAATGTTTTAACATGTGTCTACACCTGTGAAACATTACCACAATGAAAGTAATAAGCGTTTCCATCACCCCCAAAAGTTTCCTAGTATTCCTCTGAGTCTCTTCTGTACAATTCCCCCCAGACAAGCACTGATCTGCTTTCTGTCACTCTAGTTTACTTTTCCTAGAATTTTATAGACAGTGTGCACTATTTGGGTAGCTTCTTCCACTCAGGATAGTTGTTTTAAGATTCATTCATGTTGTTTTTCTTTTTATTTTCTATAAGTAATTCCTTTTTATTTTCTAATAGTATTTCATTGTATGAGTTCGCCACCATTCATTTATCTATTGGTGGATATTCGGATTGTTTCCAGTTATTAACTGTTAAAACTATGAACATTCATGTACAAGTCTCAATGGAAACATATGCTTTCTTGTCTCTTGGGTAAATAGCTTAAAGTAGTATGGCTGGGTCAGATGGTAGATGTGGTTAACATTTTGAGAAACTGCCAGGCTGTTTTTAAAAGTGGTTATACCATTTTACAGCACTGGATGAGAATTCCGTTTGCTCCACATCCTTGTCAGCACTTGGAATGGTCAGTCTTTATTTCTTTTTCTTCAAATTATAAGAGAAAGTTTATTTAGAAAGTTACAGAGGGAGAAGTGAGCCCGCTGGGCTGCATAAGGTCAGGAAACAAGTTAGAGAGGCAGAAAGAAGAAGGGCCCTTGGAGCTCAGGAGAAAGTCAAAGGTGATGGTCCTGGCGGAAGAAGAGGGGGAGGGTAAAGCCTGGCGTGCTCTCATGAGGGAGAGCGCCAGTCATTCTTTTTAGTGTAGCCATTCTAATGGATGTGTAGTGGCATCGTATACGGTTGAATTTACACTTCCCTAGTGGCTAATGATGTTGAATATCTTTTCCTATTGCTATTTGCCAACCATATATCATCTTTGGTGAAGTGTCTCTTCAAGCCATTTGGAGTTTTTTTTAGAGTTTTCATATGTACTGGGTACAGGCCTTTTATGAGCTATATGGTTTGAAATGTTTTCTTCCAGTCTGTGGCTTGTTTTTCCGTTCTTTGAGTACTATGCCAGGTTCTCAAAGAACATCATTTGTTCAGTGTCGTTTCATTTTAACATTGAGGAAATGCCATGGGAATTTAACTCCTGTTTATATCAATTAGCCTCTGGTAAAATTGGTTTTGTTATACATTGTTTCACTTAAAGTTAAGGAACCTATCAACTACCTTAAGAGAACTTAAGAAAGGAATTATTGTATCTGTCAAAGAGTAGAGGCTTTAAATTTTGATCAAGCCCCCTTTATCGTTTTTTTAAAGGGATTATGCTCTTGGTGTCATGCCTAAGAAAACTTTGCTTAACCCAATGTCACAAAGATTTTCTCCTGTTGTTTCTTCCAGAAGTTTTAGTGGTTCTCAACCTTCCTAATGCCACGACCCTTTAATACAGTTCCTTATGTTGTGGTGACCCCCAACCATAAAATTATTTTTGTTGCTATTTCATAACTGTAATTTTGCTACTGTTATGAATCGTCATGTAAATATCTGATATGCAGGATGTATTTTCATTGTTCGCGACCCACAAGTTGAGAACCGCTGATAAGGTTTTACAGTTAGATCTATTATCCATTTTGAATTAATTTTTGTATATGAGACCAAGTGTGGATTCAAGTTCACTTGTTTGTGTATGGATATCCAACTGTTCAATACTATTTGTTGAAGAGACGCTAACTTTTTAAGTAATTTTTTTAATGCTGACACACAACATAAGTTGACTAAACATTTGCTAATAATTACATAGATAAGGACATAGTCAAAAGGGATTATGGAAACTAATCTGGGAAAATCATTTATGATTAAATACATTGATTGCTACTAAAGATAAAAAAGCAAAGGCTGTCTTACGTAAATATGTAATGTACATGTTACTCGGTAACTGTTTTAGTGGGACTCTTCTCTAGGAACCCCACCACCACATCATGGGTATACCATGGAGGAGGAAAATGCCCTTGCTGGCTTGCTTACCTTTCTGTTTCTGGCATCTTTCCAGACCCACGAGAACGCCTGAAAGAAGATGACTTAGATGTTGTTCTCAGCCCACAGAGGCGAAGCTTCGGAGGGGGTTGCCACGTCACGGCCGCTGTTAGCTCCCGGCGCTCAGGAAGTCCATTGGAGAAAGACGGTGATGGACTTCGCCTGATTGGAGGACGAAGAATTGGCAGTGGGAGGATAATCTCTGCCAGGAACTTCGAGAAGGACCACCGGCTTAGCGACAAGGACCTGCGGGACTTGAGAGAAAGAGACCGAGAGAGGGACTACAAGGACAAGCGCTTCAGGGTTTGTCTTCTAGGTTACTTGGCACCTGTGTACTTAGGGACTCAGTAGTCACCTCATTTGTACTCTGAGATCCTGGACGAACATGGCCCATTCTTAAGCCAGATAGGGAGGAATAGAGCGAGCTGGATGGGGGCAAAGAGGGGCTTCAAGTCTACAACATAGTATCTTCATTGCACTATTGAGTATTACTTAATTCACCAAGGCCTTGATTGAGGTAGAAATGCCTTAACTAGAATTTTCTTTTTTATCTGCATTATGTACTTTTCCAGAGGGAGTTTGGGGATAGTAAGCGTGTCTTTGGTGAGCGTAGAAGAAACGATTCCTACACAGAAGAAGAACCAGAATGGTTCTCAGCTGGACCCACAAGTCAGTCTGAAACCATTGAGCTGACTGGCTTTGATGATAAGATCCTGGAAGAAGATCAGAAGGGGAGAAAAAGAACAAGGCGACGGACAGCCTCTGTGAAGGAAGGTCAGCAAAAACGGGGAGGGAAGCTCACTGTTCTAAAACGCGATGTGCTTATAATTGGCTTATAACTATGCACTTAGGAATGGGCACATTTATTAGGAAGTAGCAAGTTCTTACAGTTGCAGCCTGATTTTGAAACGGCTTCCTATACTACCTCCTCAACTTGCTCTGCCTGTAATGCTAAACAGAAAGTCCTCACGTTGTGCTGCTACGAGCACTGTGCACACAAAAGGATTCCCAGAGACAGAAACGTGGTAGATATAATGGGGATCTCATTTATTGAGCACACTATATATATATATTACACAGAGTGGTAAGCATTTTGTCTATATAATCCTACTTCCAACAATCCTGTGAGGCAGGTGCTTTTATGCCCATCTTATAAGTGAGCAATTGAAGGTACAGGGGGCTTTAGTGACTTGTCTGAGGACCCTGAGGAAGTAAATAGTGAAGCTGGGAGTTGAACAGGATGTATGCTGTTACACTTTTTTCCCCTCGGGTGATGCAGGAAATAGGTAACTTGGGAGACTTTGTTCTTAGTTACTTTGCCTAGGTCCCTGACTTTTGAGTTTATCATAATAAATGGCCAGTTGTGTTTGTCTGCTAGTACATATTCCTACTCGTACAGACTCTCAGTTGTCAGGCCCAGCCTGCTTTCTAGAGAGCTTAAAGCTGCACACAGTCCTGGCTGGTATGGCTCAGTGGTTAAGAGCATTAGCCCACGTACTGAGGGGTCACGGGTTCAATCCCTGGTCAAGGGCATGTACCTGATTTGCAGGTTTGATTCTCCTGCCCTACCGGAGCACATGAGAGAGGCAACCAATCGAAGTGTCTCTCACATCCATTTCTCTCTCACTGTGTCTCTCTCCCCCTCCCTCCCTGCCACTCTCACTTAAAAAAAAAAATCAATGGAAGAAATAGCCTAAGATGAGGATTAACAACAGAAAGTTGCATATGGGGCACTCGTGCTGCTTGCAAAAGCCATTCATCTGTTAAGAGATGTCCCCATCACAACACAGAATTAGAGTGACTATGCTAAAAATTAGTTTCTTTTATAAATGTATGAGTCTTAGTTGGGACACAACTGCAACAGTATCTTAGCTTTCTGAACCCTGACTTAAGTGGTGGTGCAGATGCATGTATAAAGACAGAACCAAATTAATTTGGTTCCATTTTTAAGCAGTAAGACATGCAAAGGCCACTCCTTAAAAAAAAGATCCTGTTAGAAAAATAATCCACCACACCAGCAATTTTCAAGCTTTTCCATCTCATGGCACAGGAAAACTAATTACTAAAATTCTGTGGCACATCAAAAAAGGTATTTCTTGCTGATCTGACAAAAAATAGGTATGATTTTGATTGATTTACAAAAAATTAATAATAATGGTAGTAATTGCCTACCCTTTTTGCTCCAAAGTAACTTTGTGAAAATATCAGGTGCCTACACTTGTGTAGAAGAATTTCTGGGACCAACAATTAACCGATCATACGTAACCTTATTATGTGACCTGGCCAGTAAGATGCATCTCTATTAGGTGACCCATACATAGGGTGTCCCAAAGAAATGTGTACACACACTTTGACTAATTACAAAGGGAGTATTTATTAATACACATTTCATTTTCAAATTGAGCTCCCAGCTGTTAGAGTGTGTACACATTTTCTTGGGACACCCTGTATTTATGGTTCAAGGCGGGGCTTCATACTGGAGGGCTATTGTGTTGGCTGCTATCATTTTTTAAATTTGGCAATCTAAGGGAGAGGTCAGTGCCCCTGACTAAAGAGTCAGGTATTGCAGGTTTTAAAAATTCTTGTGGCGCACTAGAGGGAAAGCACTATACTGCACTGGGGGAAACTTGAAGAATGGGCAGAGGAGGAACCACAATTCTCCTTCCATAGGAAGAGAACTGTTTTTCTACTGAACATGCTGTACTGTAACAGAAGTCCGCTTTTAAAGTCACCTATGTCTCTTCTGCATGTAATGATGGCTGAGGCCACAGACTAAGTCAGTAGCAATTAGCGTGCTCAGCCTGCTTCTGACCTGGTTTTGCTTTTAGGCATAGCCGAATGCAATGGAGGAGTGGCCGAAGAGGAGGAGGTGGAGGTCATCCTTGCACAGGAGCCTGCTGCAGATCAGGAAGTGCCGAGGGATGCCGTCTTGCCTGAGCAGTCCCCAGGAGAATTTGACTTTAACGAGTTCTTTAACCTTGATAAGGTGCCATGCTTGGCTTCGGTGAGTGTAGTAGCACACTTACGAAATGGAGGGAGCAACTGTATGGTTAATATGTCTTTAACATATGTCTTTTTGAGGTTTGTTTTTTTTTTTGTTAGAGGCCCTGGGGGCTGTTAGGCTTTTATTTGTTTGTTTATTTAAATCTTCACCCAAGTGTATGTTTCTGATGAAAAATCAGGTGTCAGCCTTATGGGAGCTCCCTTGTAGGTAACAGTTTGCTTTTCTCTTACTGCCTTTAAGATTCTCTCTTTGTTGTTAATTTTTTGGCATTTTAATTATGATGTGTCTGGGCCTGTTTGCATTCTTCCTGCTTAGGGTTCTCTGTGCCTCCTGAACTTGTGTGACTTTTTCCTTTACCAAACTAGGGAAGTTTTCTGCCATTTCTTCAAACACATTCTCTATCCCTTTCTCCCTTTTGCCTCTTCTGGCACACTTAGGGGGAGGCCCTACTGTTAGAGCATCCCAGCTTGCTCTGTGATAAAAATGACAGACTAGATAAACTCTTCAGGATTCTTCTCAGGTTTAAAATGCTTTTAGTTTCTTGTAATTGGCATTTCCAGTTAATGTGTATAAAAGTAACTTTGTTTTATGTTTTAGCTATAATAAAATTTAGCTTCTCTAAGTGAAACAAAGTTGGTAGATGATCAAAATATGCAAATGACTTTCTCAACACTTACTGTCATATCTTTAGAAAATGTCCAGATGCTTTATATTCAGGTCCTTTGCTTTTCGTGTTCCTTCTGTATATCTTCTGACTTTTTTCCTATATAGTATGATCAGAGGAAATAAAAGGATTAAAATGAAAAGCCATTTTTGCTATTTATAATATAGCAAAACTCTTTTCAACATTAAACTGTTTTTAATAGCTGTATCTTTTAGTTACTTTTAAAATAATTCCTATTTATCACTAAGGTGATTGTATCTTGGATACGATTCCCTATTTTCACAGTGCCACATCACTCATAATGCTTCTCTTATGCTGTAATTATTGCAAGTGCACGTAAAAGTCAGCATTATTTAAATGAGAGTCTACAAGTGGAATGTGATTGAAACTATGACTAATACCTCAGAAAATATAAGTACCACAGATAATGATCAAATTAGTGTCTTGAATTAAAATCCCTTTTCTTATGTGACAGGAGTGTTTTGTGGCTTAGTTTGGGTATGTGTTACGAGAAAATTCTTCCAGATAAGAATAAAAGAATAATTCTTAACTTCCACTGCTGAACTTTGGAAACTGGGGGTTCTAGACTTCAGATAAAAGAGTCACTAACACTGTCATCTATGTACCAGTTTGGGGGGAAATGTGTTTTCTGTTTATTATTGGTATAGAAGTAAAAGTTTATGCCTTACTTTCAAGGATGTGCCTCGTTTTTGGATTGACATTTGCTTTAGCTTTTCTAAATGTTGATAAGAATACTGCATAAATATCAATTTTTATATTTAACTGGATTTATGATAGGGTACAGTTGAAAATTTTATTTTTTAAAAAAACCGTTTAAAATCTATCTTTTAAGAAGGATTGATGATAGAAATTACTATTATGAAATAGTGTTGAAAAAAATATTTCTGATCATAGCGCATCATTTAGTTGGCCTTATTATTAAGCCAGAAACCATGGAAGTTGGATTTAAAACAGAACAAACATCCGAAAACTCCTCGTTAAATTCAAACAGATATTAGAGATGCGTTAAAAGTTCATCTTTCACATTCTGATATTTTCTAAACTTTGACTTGGAATTGTGATCTGTGAGCTCTACTTTTTAGCTTTTGGCTTCGGAAATTAGCAGCATTGAACTCTATGATGTTCATTACAGCCATGAGACTGTTTGCAGCAAGGATTTTCTTTCGTCAGCTGTCCATACATGATATTTAGTTGAAGGCCACTTCTCAGCTTGGCAATGGAATGCTTTACTCTTGGTGCTGATTTTGATTTTGAAATTATGTCCCCCAAGAACATTCGGTGGTTCATGGGTTTGTCTAATGAGGCAAAGGATAAAAAATGCCATTTCTATGGCACAGTGGTTTTGCTTTATATGCTTAGAAAGTACATGGTTGGTTATTCTCAAGTTTGGGTTACTCAGAAATGACCCAGGAGGGGAAGAAAAATGAAAGATGTTCAGATTCCTAAGTTCTGAAAGTGTTTACCTTCAGGTCAGCCGCTTCAAAGGAAGTTTCAAAGTAAGTGACCCTTTCTTAAAAATTGAAACTTCTTGTCCCTTTCGCCTAGAAACTATTATCTTAGCTCCTCTGTCTTTCCTTTTAGATGATAGAAGACGTTTTGGGAGAAGGGTCAGTCTCTGCCAGTCGATTCAGTAGGTGGTTCTCTAACCCAAGCCGATCAGGAAGCAGATCCAGCAGTCTTGGTTCAACACCACATGAAGAACTGGAGAGACTTGCAGGTAAAATGGCTGCAGATTCTGGCCACGGACCTCAACTTGAGCTCTCGCTGACACTGTTCATTGTCTTCATTAGTCAGGGGTCCATTAGGGTTAAAGAGTCTCTGGATACTGAAAAAGCCTTCAATTCGTGTCCTTTTAATACTATTTGAAGCTGTGTTTCTGTGCTTTATTGGGATCAATTATGAATATATTTACTTGCATTATTAGGTCTGGAGCAAGCCATCCTCTCTCCTGGACAGAATTCGGGGAATTATTTTGCTCCTATACCATTGGAAGACCATGCTGAGAATAAAGTGGATATTTTAGAAATGTTACAGAAGGCCAAAGTGGATTTAAAACCTCTTCTTTCCAGCCTTTCTGCAAATAAAGAAAAACTTAAAGAGAGCTGTAAGTGTTTATTAGAGTCTGCTTTAGGTATCTGCAAAAGCTTGAATGCTCAGTCTTAAGGCAGTTAATGCTATTTCATCAAAAGTCAAATATATAGTGGGCTTCGTTGAACATTCTTCAAAAAAAAAAAAAAATTTTTTTTTTAATCAACCAATACCACCTCTTTGAGAACCGGGTATAGTCAGTAGGTCCTGGGACCTCTATTAACTCTTCCACCCAGTCCTCCTCACCGGGAGCCCGTTTATAACCCTCTAGCGAATGCTGTCTTCCTGAACAGCATTTGGCAGCTCCTCACATCTTTGCCCCGAACTGCCATGTTCTTGTGAGGTTATAAGCCTTCCACAGGAAACCTTAGTGGTACAGTAAGCATCGTGCTGGCGGCAGTCGTGCTGACGTTAGGCCAGCGGGGATTCCTGCCCTGGTGACAAGCCTCCAGAAGACCCTTGCAGAGGTCCTCCGACAGGATGCGCAGCAGGATCTTGTCAAGTCTTACAGCTTGTGGCCCCGTTTCTAGCACTGAAGCATTTTAGGGTTAGTTTATGCCATCTCTTACTCAGCACACAATTATGGCCTCATTTCAACTAAGCAACAATGATTTTAAGTATCTTCAGTCTATTTTTGGTGTGATTCTTTTTTACTTTCACCTTAACCGTGATGTAGCCAAAGAGAATTCCTACCACATACTCCTTTGCTTGACTTAACCTAGACTTTCTCAACTTTTCAGCACATTCAGGGGTTGTGCTTTCAGTGGAAGAAGTAGAAGCAGGGCTCAAGGGCTTGAAGGTGGACCAGCAACTGAAGAATTCCACTCCTTTCATGGCAGAACACTTAGAGGAGACCCTGAGTGCTGTTACCAGCAATCGACAGCTCAAAAAAGATGGCGATATGACTGCATTCAACAAGCTAGTGAACACCATGAAGGCAAGTGGGACTTTGCCTTCTCAGCCCAAAGTCAGCGTAAGTATTTGACACAAACTCCAGCCTTTTCTCCTTTTCCCTCTTTCTGTTCCACTTCCCACAATAAATGGATTTTTAAAAAGGTATTCTGAGTAAGTTGGAAATTTTTTAGTAGTCATTTGGTCCTTGATGCTTTTGTGTGTTCTTTAATTATCGCTGTGCTATTTGTTACTAGAAAAAACAGGTTTTGGTTCATCTACATGTGTTGTGGGTGACAATATAAAGATTGAAAGAGTCATACATAACTTTCTTAAGTCATTGCTAAAAAAAATGGTGATACATATCTTTTTGGATGAACTCCAAAGAAAGTTTTGTGTTTATTCAGCTACTTGTTAAAGTAACTTACTGTATATTTATAGTCAGATCTTTTCCATACCTTCTACTTACTTCCAAATACCCAGGCTTACCTGCTTTCTTGACTAGGCCGTTGGCAGTTATACGAAACATTTGTCAAGTAAGATGGATTTTTTCAAGACAATTGTATTTTGTTAATTTACTAATAGAAAAAGCTGTGACTCTAAACTTGTAAAACACCTTTAGGCATGAATTTGGGTTACAAGGTGACTGAATATCAGTAAATGCAGGTGTGTAGCACATACTGGAAGTGTGAGACTCTCAACCATGGCCTTTGTGTCAGTATTGCTCTCCTTGATGAAAGTGATCAAGGAAGCAGGATAAATCTGAAGAATAAAAACATAGACATTCCATTTGCTGTGTTAGATTTACCAAAGTGAGTTGTTTTCTCCTTATACATTCTTATCTGGGAACTACAAGTTAGCTGCTGCAGCAGTAACTGATTCATTGTGCCTTGACCGTGGGAAGGGAACTGATTTTTGGTGTTTCTCATATGACCAGCAGTTAGCAATAGAGATTCCCACAGAAATGCCATTGTTCCGGGCCTTACTGCTAGAACTGTCCACCTCGGAAAGGTGGCAACTCAGGGAGGTAGATTCATTCCTGAGTATCTGACCACACCCTGCCAGTTTAGGGGAATACTTCTTGTAAACTGCTTTAGAATTATTTCCATTCAAAGAATTATTAGATACAAGGGCCAGATTAAAAGATTGCAAACTATTCTGTTCTCCTTGTTACCTTTGTGTCTTGGTGACTGGGTCACTTCTTGTACCTTCTTTCTTTTAGTGTGAGCAAAGAAATGGGAACAGGAAAATTCAACAGTTAACCTGATGCTTTTGAACATTTTGTTTCAGATATGGATACGATTCTAGGGTTTGATAGTAGCACAGTTGACCCTGAGTTGTTAGAGGAACTATTTCAATGTTTGTACTTCAATGTTCTGAAATATATCTGATTTCGCCGAGGGAAGGAGACTCAAAACGCCTATTTAAAGGGATGGATGACATAATTCAAGCTGCTAGGCAAAGAGTAACAGAAATCCAACATAACCTAGGAAAGAAAGCAACAAGAAAAATAATGTAATAAGCACACCAGTCATTATCCCAAAATATTGCTTAATTTGCATGTTGTTGAGTCATGGTCTACATCTAAAATCGTTTTTAATTACTGTGGCTATGTGTGCGATGCATACTATTTCTGATTTGACTATGTCTGTTTAGCTTCAATCATGTTTCCTCCTCCAAACTTGTTGGTTCAATCTAAACTCTATTTCAAATTGAATTGTAGGCTCTGTATACTATATGAGCCTATATAGTATAAAGTTGCCTATTTGTTTTTTGTTAGAATTAAATGGCTTTTTAGGATATCTCTTATTAAAATCATCTGCAGTGAGTCCCAGTTCCAAAACCAACAGTAAAACATGTGGATACCTTTGGGCTATACTCCATGCCCGAGGACACTGCTGTGGGCCTTGGCATCTCCACCCAGTGGAAGGGAAGTGTACCAGAGAAGAGCACTTAGGCATGAGGATGTACTGAAGTGCAGGGAGGTAATGCAAGTTGGATGCAAAACATAACTGCAGCTGCATTAAAAGAGCAAAAAGTGAAGTAATTGAATTTCCCCCTGTATGTGAGACCCATTTGAAACAGCTTGTTTATAAATAATAAAGTTTAAATTTCCTAAAATATGACAGTTCTGGCCTGCATGTTGACTAGATTTTTAGTATCGCCTGGTCTATAAATCTTGTTACAGTATAGCAAAAGTTGCCTCAGAAACTATAAATTATCCAAATTTTCTGCATGTGGCTTCTTAACTAAAGTACTCCCCCTTTCACCATTTCTTTTTTTCCTTTGTTTGGTCAGTGTTAGAAACCATTAAATGCATTAGGGTTACTACAGGGAGGAAAAGACCTTGTCTGAGGACGGTCTCTGAGTGGATGCTACATGTACATGGAAGATTCTTTCTGGTCCCAGATATTTGGGACCTATATGATGAGAGAGTGGAACAGGTTGATTTAAGTTTGTTTTCTGTAACTTTGACATTATTCTGCTGTTACATGTTGACTCCTGAAGAGTTTTTAAAGCTTTCTTGTGGTCCCCAATTAATCTTTGCCATGTGTGAGAAGGTTAAAACCAGTTTTCCTTTGACTTTTTTAGCGAAACCTTGAAAGCCATTTGATGTCCTCTGCTGAGATTCCAGGCCAGCCTGTCCCTAAGAACATCCTGCAGGTACTTCACAATCTTATCCGAGGCCTCGGGTCCTGAACAGTATCCTCTGAACTGGTTTTTGTAGTGGTCCAGCTTTGGGCCTGAGAGAATGATCCATGTTGCTGGCAATTGAGGATATGTCGCTGCCCTAACATAGCTGTCGCTGTTAGCCTCAATGTGGGGTGGGGAGGAAGGTAAAAAAAAAAAAAAATGACAAAGCAAGCCCTTGATTTCCAGTTTGCAGGCTTACAATTCCTATGGAAGTTTAAAGTATCTAACCTGTACTGATAGCACTAACTTGCAGCAATGTTGCTAACTGAACTTTCAGAGAAAATTGTCGCATGTACATGTGACAATTCCTTCAGTGGAGTATGAGGGAGATTCGTTGTTGGCTTCCAAAAACTCATCCCTAATCCATAGCCTCTCACCAGGAGGGAGAACGAGTTGTGTTCACAAGGATTTGACTTTTCTGCCTTCTAGGAACTTCTGGGTCCATCAGTTCAGAGACCTGCTTCCTCCAACCTTCTGAGCGGCCTTATGGGGAGCTTGGAGCCTACATCTCTACTGGGCCAAAGAGCACCATCTCCTCCCTTGTCACAGGTGTTTCAAACACGAGCAGCCTCAGCAGACTACCTTCGTCCTCGAATACCATCACCAATTGGTAAATACTCGTGTGTAGATGTCCGTCCATCCGTCTCCATCATGCCATGCACATTTCACCACCCACTCACATGACCAACATTATACTTGTCCCCTAGAATTGGCAAAGTCTTTTGATGGGCATCCTTGAAGATTTTAAAAAGAAATGTGTGGGTTTATTATACGTTGTTTACAACGGGTGGGGAGGACACATGTGGAACATAGTTTATTTTCCAACTGCCCCTCTAGATAAATATGTCCATGTTATAGTTTTGTTTTTTCTCTTGAGATTGAACTAAATTGGGTCCAGCTCTTCAGTCTTTTTCCTTATTTCGGGAATTCAATCCAAAAAAGTTAATTTGACTTCCTAGGTTTTTTTCTTGATAGAGTATGTCAGAGTACTGGGTCTTTACCAACCTAATGAAGTCGGTACACAATCATTTGTGAGGTCTATGGCTAATTCAGATATGAAGGGAAGCACTTCCAGAAAGCTATCATAGCAAAGTGTTGTGCTTAATCTCCAGGTGTTCCTCCCACCCTGGACTACTATAGGCTGCTGGCCACCCTGGCTCCTGCCAGTCATGTCTTGCGAGGGAGTTTTTTGTAATCTTCCCTCCATAATTAGGGAGATAGAATGAAGAGCTCCCCATAAGGCCACTGAGTGCACTGGTCTCTGCTTTGGTATCAGCTGGCTTGGTGATAATGAGCCAAATCACTGGCTAGTGAAGCTCTGAAAGGACAAAGCTGGCAGCTTAGCGGGGAAGATGGACACAGCGGCAGTTCAGGTCATTAAGTGCCGGTCCACAAAGCCCACTGTGGGGGACACAGAAGAGGGACATCAGCCCAAGAAGTCAGTACTTCTCAAAAGAGCTGGTGTTGAGGAGCAGCATGTCTTGGTGATAATGCCTCTTTGATGGACATGTGCTACCCTGACACTCCCTGATACTGTAACCTTTCCAACAGGTTTCACACCAGGACCACAGCAGCTACTCGGAGATCCATTCCAAGGCATGCGCAAGCCCATGAGTCCCGTCACGGCCCAGGTCCAGCTGAGCTTTCTCAAATGCAATCTATTACTTGCTTTCCACCTTTATTATTATTTATGGGGTGGAGAATTAGATTGCTATAATTCTTGGAGGTGGTTTTAACTGTAATTCCGGTTCAACTATAATTCAAGTAAAGGCTAAAAAATTGGTGAACAGCTGAAGTCATATTTAAATAGTTAAAACCCTCTTTGGTGGACAGCACGATTTAGTCAGGTTGCAGCATGTAATTTCTCTCAGCTGCTGCTGACGGAGAGTGAAGAGAGACCTTTGTATAAAGTTCAGTGACCGTCCTCACTCTTCTGACCCTCTGCCGCTTGTGTCCAGCAGATGAGCCAGCTGGAACTGCAGCAGGCAGCAGCTTTGGAGGGGCTGGCCCTGCCACACGACCTTGCAGTGCAGGCAGCAAACTTCTATCAGCCTGGTTTTGGCAAACCACAGGTGGACAGAACCAGAGATGGATTCAGAAACAGGTAAGTTACTGACCCTACCCTTGTGGGGATTTGCAATTTAATTTTCCTCAGATTAGCAAATTAGTTATCCGCAGTGTAATTCTGTTGTAAACACGGATACGTTGTACACCGCATGGTGAGAATGCCATCTCATCCAGATGTGCAGTGAAGGGAAAAATGATTGAATTCTGCCTGGGCATAGGCTTCTCCTCCTGTATGATGCTTTTTTATATTCTTGATTTAAAGGGTTCATCTTTTCGAATGCAGCTTATTTGCAGTTACGCCAGAAAATGATGGAAAGTAAAACTACCTAGCTTCCTCCCCCATGGCTTCCTTGTTGAGTGATCAAACTGTCTCTTGATGTGGGTTTGCTGATCAGAGCAGTTAAATGATTACTGACCACTCTCCTCCTGTTCTTTCTGCGAGTTGCAACAAGTAGTAAAATGGAAGGAATCATAAGTTGGGGGGTAGGGGAGTAGCAACATTGTTCTTTTTTATTAGAAAATAAAAAACTGCATTAAGCAAATGTGCAAGGCAAACTCCTTGTTAGCTACCCAGAAGCTGTGTGCCCTGTCCCCTTTATGCTCCCATAAGTGTCTAGCCTTAAAGACAGTTTAGTCCTATTCATACAGTACTTGGAAATTAAGAAGTATTTATGTTTTGATGTGATTCTTAAAATTTGCCACATCTGTGTCTTAGTGTCTTGCTTCAGCTAGTTTTATATGCTGACATTTTCAGAAAACATTGAGACTAGTAAGTACCCTGTAGCCTTGCCTAAAGGCATTCTATCCTTAGTAGCCCTCAGCCTAGAGAGCTCAGGACTAGTCTGCTAAGGCTCTGTCATTGGCTTTCTCTCTACAATATGTGTCAGTGGAGCCTTCATGTTTAGATCAAATGTCACCCTCCCAGGCCTTCCCTGAACACCCTGTGTTACGTTGTGTCCTCCAACAGACATGCCTTTCTCCTTCTCTTCCTTTATTTATTGTACTTAGCACCTTCTAGCATACTATTTTTCGAAATATATCTTTGTTGATTTCAGAGAGGAAGGGAGAGATGGAAACATCACTGATGAGAATCACTGAGTGGCTGCCACCTGCACGCCCCCACACTGGGGATCAAGCCCACAACCCAGGCATATGCCCTGACTTAGAATCCAACCATGACCTCCTGGTTCATAGGTCAATGCTCAACCACTGAGCCACACCAGCCGGGCTCTAGCATGCTATTTAATTTTTGTCTGTGTCCCTGCCCATAGTAACCCCTCTCCACTCTGCAACAAGAATGTAATGAGGCCAAAGTTTGTCTATTTTGTTTACTACTGCATCCCTAGCACTTACAATAGTGTCTAGCACAGCCGTGGGCAAACTACAGCCCGCAGGCCGGATCCAGCCCGTTTGAAATGAATAAAACTAAAAAAAAAAAAAAATACCGTACCCTTTTATGTAATGATGTTTACTTTGAATTTATACTAGTTCACACAAACACTCCATCCATGCTTTTGTTCCGGCCCTCCGGTCCAGTTTAAGAATCCATTGTGGCCCTCGAGTCAAAAAGTTTGCCCACCCCTGGTCTAGCATATAGTACGTGCTCAAGTACGTTTGTCAGAAGGAATAAATTAATTATACCTTATGCAGAATCACCTGATTTGGGGTTTATATCTTAATCACTCAGAATACTGTTAACCTGTCTGTCCCCTCGTTGTCATGATCAGAGTCTCAGTATGGCAGCAGTAGGGCTTACCTGGTAGAGACTGGAAAGAGGAAAGAAGTCATGGTTTAGGATTCCCATTTGCTCATGATTCAGAAAACTTCAGAAGCAGGCTGTACTTGGGCTTGGGCCTTTGTGGTACTGGGTCTGACCAGGCTGAACTGCAGTGGAGCTTTCATTAGCCAGTGAGCTCACACATTCATTCTTCTCTCAGCCTATTTATATCTTCAACTGTTTCCGGTTTTCTTCCAAATTAAGGCAGAATGAGTAGAACGTCCGGGATAGAATGCAAGTCTGTTCTTAACTTCACTTGGGAGGCCTGGGATCAGCCTTGTGTGTAGACCAGGAGTGGTGGGGAATGCTGCATGGAACTAGGTCTTAAAATAAAATAGCTGAAACTGTTGGCGCTGTATCTGATTTGAGTCAGTGTCTCACAGAGCATCAGTTCTATGCCAAGCACTATGCTAGTCAGTGTTGCTCCCTCCCCTCTAGAGCACAGCCTGGACCACAAGATGAAACTTCTCGCTAGCCTACCTCACTCGTAGTCTGAAAATAAACTATACATGAGCTGTGGATAACCCTACATTCCCAAGTCCTTACCAAGTCCCTGTACCTGTTCCTTCTACCTAAATCCTTGTTCTCATCTTGTAGCTTCTCATTGGTCACACCCAAGTTAATGCAGCTCCTTACCAGGAAGCTTGTCCAGTCCCTGCAATAGACGTATCCTATCATTCCTTCTACCCCTCATTTTGCCATGACACCTTGTTGGTACCTAATACCTGAATGCTTGGTGTGTCCTAGGTTAGTGAGCATCTCCCCCACCAGATGAGAGTTCTTGCAAGGCCCAGGACCATGTTTCAGTGAGCTTGTCTTCCCTCAGAACTTAGCATGTGGTTTTGCATATTTAGACTTAGCAAATGCTTGGGAAGTTGAATTGGATTAAGGGAAATGTTGAAGTCCTAGGCTGATCTTCAGTATGGTGTGGTTTTAGGACTCAGAGTTGAAGCAGCTCGGGGCTTACACTGATACTTGGTTTGTTCACAGGCAACAGCGAGTGACCAAGTCACCAGCACCCGTGCACAGAGGGAATTCCTCTTCCCCTGCCGCCTCCATCACAAGCATGGTCAGTGACCTTTGCCTTTGTGAATGACCTCTAGGGTTCTAGGTTTCTCCCTGTTTGGTTGTGCCTATGTTGTATCACTGTAACCCAAATGTCCTTGAGTGCCTTCCACAGGAATCATTGATTTCACTCTTTCAGACCTGTCTGTCTATTGGGTTTTCCCCTTTCAGTCTGTTGGGGTTTTAGTTAAAGCCCTTACATTGGGGAAAGTGTGTTTCAGCAAATAGACAAGTATGGCTGGAGCATACAGATGATATGTAGTATATTCAAACAAGTGAACAATTGGAGTGGGGAGGACAGTGTGAAAGGCAGGGGGTGTGGTGGATGGGATGGTGACCGGGGTCAGGTCATGGGGAGTGCAGTGGTGAGTTCACAAATTCAGCTCCAGATCTCTGATACGAATTAAGACTGGGACCAAGGGGTTTGCTTTTTGTGGAGACAAGTTTAGTTTCACAGCTGACTCATGTGCCAGCATTTTCTTTTAAGTTTCCTTCCCCACAAATTTTATCACCTAGTTAAATCTG